TAACAATGAAACAGATGTCCATGAGTGGTTCACTGGCTTGGCATCTTTTCCAAAGTTGTGTTTCAAAGCTGTTTTATACAGCAAACACAGACTCAAAGGAATCCATGTTTAAAATAGAATGAGGCAAAAATGTGATTCTTTGTTAGACTAATTTGCATATGCCCACCCAGAATCCTTTGCGGTAGTAACATCACTGCTGATTTGTGTTTCTGTGGGAAAAGCAAGTCTTATGGCTTGACTGGTGTGCAGATTTTTGTTTAACATTGTATTACCTATCCACAGACTTCAGGTGGAAGGGGTTTTCAATCACAATTTCCCCCCACCATAACCTTTTTGAGATAGACAAACAAAAAAATAATCACCTTTCCTCCTTGGTGTAACCTCTGTAATTTTCCTTGGGGATGGCTTACTTAAACGGTAAGCATATATATTTTTTATATCAAGTTCCTTTTCTTTCTCCTGAAATATATGGTTAAAAAGTACAATAAGACACAGCAGACACAGCATAGATTTAAACATTAATGACAGTTTTCAAGAGAAATTTTTTTTCCAGGGAATACACCGAGCACCATAGCAAAGGCAACTCGTTGCAAATCTTTTTTTTTATTAAGGTAAATGCACAAAATATACATGCCAGTCAGAATTTTTTATGGTTTTCAAGAATATATGTGTGTGTGTAGTGGATGCAGTGAGAGTATTTGATTAGTGAATGCAGTGTATGTTTGTGGAGTGTGTGTTTGTGTAGTGAGTAAAGTGAATGCAGTGTGTGTGGTGTGTATAGCGAATGCAGTGTGTGTATAAATAATGAATACAGAGTGTGTATAGTGAATGCAGTGTGTTTGTGTAGTGTGTGTATATAATGTGTGTAAAATGGGGGAGGCATTTTTATTTTTATTCTACATTTAAAAAAAATATTTAATATTTTTTTAGTCCCCCCTCCTGCTTCTTACTTGGCCAGTGAGGAGGATATGGCATTCCCTGGTGGTCCGGTGGCATGGACTGTGCAGAGGGGAACCAGCACACTTTTACTCACCTTCCCAGCAGCTCCCTTCAGCTCCCCTGTCTAACTCTCGCGGCCTGTGTGCTGCGCGGAGTGTTGCCATGGTAATCCGTGGCAACGCTCTGACGACCAAAGGACTTGTGAGATTTAGACAGGGGAGCTGAAGGAAGCTGCTGGGAAGGTAAGTAGAAGCTTGCTCCGGGCCCACTAGGACCGGTGGAGAGCTGAAAATACTGAATATCGGCCAGACCGATAATCGGTCGATCCCTAATTAATGCTCACTGTCTTATAGATGAATGTAAGAGTTTTTTTTATTGTTTATATTGAATTAAAGGCGTGCAATAATCCACAGATATAGATCAAAATAGCCACTCAGACAGAAATTGAACATCCAAAAAGTATTGGCCGTCCTAGAGAGCCCTTTGGAAGGATGAAATGCAACATAAGGCCTACCCCACCACCACAAAACTTGCAGAAATCAGAGCATTACGACACTCCCTAAGGGAGGCCACTCTGGATGAAGTCACCAAAGATATACTACAATGCAAGATACTTTTTTATGAAAAGTAGAACAAAATGGACTCACTCCTGGCCAGATCACATCTCCAAGTAGATCAACAGAGAGTTTGCAGAATACTATTCAGTGCTTTATAACCATTCCCTGACATTAACAACAAATAAAAATATGGTGGATGGTGTATAGAAGGACGCCTTCTCTGGTCCTTTACATGGGCGCATAGGAATTATAACTGCTTTATCCTAGGAGTCCCCTGACACAAGGCATCCATTCTCTGTTAAACTGCTTTTTTTGTTTTAATGCTAAGCAAGAGTCCCCAGAAGCCCATTCCCTCTGTGCTGCACAGCTAATGAGGAAGCATTAGTCTGAGAAGCAATGGGATAGGTGATAGGTTGAATGCAGTCATCTGACACTCTCAGCCAATCACTGTCACCCATTTCTAGTATTAATTGGAATGGCTAAGGAAGTGTAATCTCTGCTTTAGCCATATCTCCAGTAGGTGACAGGATGTGTGCTGCCTGGGACCCCCATTCACTGTTAAACTCCTCCAAAATGGTGTAACACTAAATGGATTGACAGTGCTAGGGGACGCCAGATACTACAAGTTAAGGAGGTAAAATGGTTACAGTGCCCAGAATGTCCCTTCTCCATTGCAAACATTTATATAGAATTTAATTGGGGCTTCAAAGACAAACATCAATAACAAACTATACATGGAGATTATCATCAATAAGATATAAGGGGCATTAGGAAAGCAAAACTGAAAGGAAAAACAAAACAAAACATGACTGTTACTTTAAGAATAAGAAGGAAAGGTGGGGGAAAGGAAGCTATTAAAAAACTAGACAGTGTCAAAGATCTACTACAATATTGTAAATGTACTATGCGTCCATTGTTACATTTGTATAGTGTATGAGAATGTGTAGAATTTAACACTGGGGATAAAAACCAAACAAAAAAAAGCCATATACATTTATTTCTGAGGAATCATTATCTGATCTATATTTTTTAACTACTTATAGGCTAATGACAATCTATACCAAGCATGTCAAATAGCCAGCCAATCCGGGGGTCGCAAAATTCACTTGTCAGACTGAGTAGGTGCGCCTGGTGTCATGTGACTACCCAGCACGCATTCTGACACCGCACGCCGCCAGAGAGTGAGAGACCCCCCTCCCCAGCTATGTCAGGTGAGAAACAGCAGGGAGGGGAGCCATCTATCTATAGGGCAAAGCAGAGCAGAGCTGGCACTACCATCACTCGGCTCAGTGAGAGAAACAACTGCCTGCCAGAGCAGGAGGGGGGAGGTATGAGACATAGATGGAAGGTGGGAGAGAGACATCTGGGGATAGACATGGAGGGAAACTGAGACATGGTTGGAAGGAGGAGTTGGTGACTTGTGTTTCTGCCTTGGGGCTTGAAAGATTCTTTGGTATAGTACTTTTGCATTACGGTTTGCCTCTATTTCTGTTACTTTGTCTATTATGGTTTTCGGTTTGGTATTGTGATTTTTCTACTGATTAAAGCCTTGTTGTACTTAATAACTGTAGTTATTATAGTGTGCCTTCTATATTTTATATGGATTTTGATATTTAAACACTTGAGGGAGTGTTTATATGGTTTGCACAGGCTTATGTAAATATAATTTTGTCTCTCCATGGGATTTTGGTTTATGGACTGGAAGGGGGACATGGAGGAAAACAGACATGAATGTAAGGGGGAGATAGACATGGAAGGGAGGGGAACAGAGACATGGGTGGAAAGGGGGGGGAATAGGACACATGGATGGAAGGGGGGTAGAAGCGAGCGGAGTAGAATGTGCAGCAACACCTTGCTCTGCCTAGAGATTGCAGAGGGACTAGAGAGCGAGCAGAGCAGACAGTGCAGCTACCTACCTGGCTGGTACTGCGGGAGCGAGCAAAAAAGACACTTCAGACAGTGGCATTACTACTGAGACAATAAGTAACCTGAGGTAAAGCTTTTGAGTGAAATATATATATGTATATCCAGGATTACATATTGTTTGCATGAGAATGATACAAGTAATTTTAGTTTGTGTTGGACTCTTTTGAACTCTTGAACTCTTTTTTTTGTGGCCCACATAAACGTAAAGGGACACTATAGTCACCCAGACCACTTCAGCTCAATGAACTGGTCTGGGTGCCAGGTCCCTGAGGTTTTAGCCCTTCAGATGCAAACATAGCCGTTTCAGAGAAACGGCTATGTTTACATTTGGGTTTAATCCAGCCTCTAATGGCTGTCTTCCTGACAGCCACTAGAGGCGCTTCTGCGACGCTGGAGGCACATCTCACCTCAACATCGCGCAAAGCGTCCATAGGAAAGCATTGAGAAATACTTTCCTATGGACACTTTGAATGTAAGTGCGGCACTTGATGCGCATGCTCATTCGGCTCCGCTGACGTCTGACGGGGGAGCTGACGTCGGCGGGGATGAGAGGTCACCAGCGCTGAGGGAGCCCGGCGCTGGATTAAGGTAAGCTGCTGAAGGGGTTTTAACCCATTCAGCGCCACGGGAGGGTGACCCTGAGGGTGGGGGCACCCTCAGGGCACTATAGTGTCAGGAAAATCGCTTTGTTTTCCTGACACTATGGTGATCCTTTAAGCCTTGTTTTTTTGCACTTGTTAGCTTTTGAGTTTGACATGCTTGATCTATACCATTACAACAATCAACATCAACGGTAGCAAAATACTGCTTAAATACTTTCAAAACATATCTTCACCTGTCATATGCAATATTTTAAAATGTATTGACAGTTCAGAAAGAATAAGGGGACCGGTAGAATACAGAGACCTATGAAAAATTCACTTATCCCAAGACATTCCTGAAAATAAGAGAAATATTCTTCCTAGTAAAGATTTCAGAAACAAATTAAATTGACATACCTTTAATTTCAGGGTCATTTTCTGAAGCTCCTCTTTGAGCATCTTATTGTCTTCTTGAGCATCATAGGCCTTCTTTCTCTCGGACTGCAGCTGCCTCTGGAAACTGCTCTGAGTCAATTCAATGTTCTTTTCCAGATCCTGCAACATGCAAACAGATACAAGTATGGGATGGTTACAAGGGCAGTACAAAGATATATGCACTGTAAGAAGAATTAAATGGTTACTCTAACCAAAAAAAACAGTTTGTTTATTTTTTCCAGAAAACACTGATATTGTTTGGAGTAACCCTTTCTGTGGTGATCTGCCCACCCGCAGAAAGCTTTAATTTACTCTTTTTTCCAGCGCCGATGCCAAGTTCCCCCTCAACTGATGTCCCTGCCCTTTGCTGAAAGGGGAAGGAGTTCAGGAAGGTCATCCTAAGTGAAGGGCAGTTGTGGCATGGAGGAAGGAAAGGGGGCCATTGGCTGTGTGGTACCAGCATGCTGTGCGTGCAGACATCAGATGCAAATTGTACACAATTGATATAAACCAGCTCTGGTGTTGCTAATGATGTGAGAGAAAGAAAACCTATTTACACAATGCCAACATAAAATATTATGGGGAGTAAGCCTGTGCTTCCCAAGCAGGATTATGCAGGAAAGATGAGTCTAACAACAAGTGTAACTCACTGAAAACAATATTGATGCTCTCAGCAGGAAACTGGTGTAATGGAAATAAATTGAAACATCAGCTTCTAGCAGTATTAAAGGAATTCAATAGTGTTAGAAATGCAAATCTGTATTCTTAACACTATAGTGCCCTCTGGTCCTCCCTCCCTTTGTATCACAAATAATACTTGAATATGTTCTTGAGTTAAATTTCCACATAAATCACCATCAGTCAGAAGCTTCCAGGCCACGGCCTTTTGGAGAAGTGTGAACACCAGCATTCTGCCCACTGACTGTGGGTTTGGTCCCCAGATCCACTAAAAAGAGCCATTTTAATTAGGCTAAGGGTGTATGCAGACATTGGGACTCCTGCACTGCCTCCCAGCTGGAATTGGGGACCTTTGGGTATTGCCTGGACCCGTCTTGCACATTGAGTGCCTGACCAGGAGATACCCTGAAAAAGTTATGGGGCTGTTTGCCAGATTTTAACTTTGCTATGATCATGTAAATCTTTAATTGGGTATTTCTTGTTCCCCTCCGAACACTGATAAAGGCACTATTTTGCCAGCATGGGCGCTTCAGTGAGAGATATTAAAGGACATATAACGTGTGGGTGCCAGCCTTCCCGGGCCTTAGTAACCCCTTTTTGTAAGACCAAGGAAAAACAGCCACACGCCTGGAACTGTAAGTTGGATCAAAGAATAGCCACGACCTGGTCAATCGTTAATATGCTATAACTTCGGCATGGATCCTCTGATCAGGGTGCTATTTGGACAGTATGGGCGATTATATATGTATATATTAGTGTGAGGGTGCTGTCCAGGAAAAGGTTTTTTTTGGGCTATATGTTTGGGAGGCACAGCAGACAGTCTATCTGGTTAGCTGGGGATTTCGCAATCAAGCCCCCAAGACCCCAGACAGAGTGGTACCTGTGTGTGCATGGCATGTTTGTGAATCAACATTTATATGCATACAAATCTTTGTGTTCAATAAAGCTGACCTCTACGCCCCTACATTCCGTCTCGGCTAATGTGTGGGGAAAACCCATCTATAATCACTGCTCAAAAGGAGAAAGGGTCCCCAGAGCTATAATCACTGCAGAGCGCTACGATCGCTGCAGAGACCCCAGTCAAGCTGCAGCGACTGGGTATGAATTGCTCCAAAGTACCTGATTGCAGCTAGGAAGCAAATTTGGCGGAGGTACTCTGCTGGAGTACTGGTGCTCCGTTACAGTAAATTTTTTTGACAAATTCTTATTTGCCATAGTCAAATATAGTTAATATTTTAAAAGTCCTTAAATTTGGAAGTAGCACGATAACTGTCAAATTATGAGACAACATAAATTTCCTTAAGTAAGAGTTTATGAGAAGAACACGGTCTCTTTATATAACCGAACAAGTAAGAAATTAGCATAATAAAATAATGGTAATAAATGAAGAAACATATCAATAGAACTCAATTAACAATGCATGAAACCCACAGCCAAGCTAATTTTATGTCAAGACACGGAGGCTCATATTGCTTAACCCTTTCTTTACTGTCTACCAATAGCAGCAAAGAACACACACACAAAAAAAAAAAACTAGAACATATACAGTGAGACACCAGCCAATCCCCATCCAAATCCCAGTATAAGAGCAAGCACCGCCACTAAAGCTTTCTTTTTCTTTGCTGCTCCACAGTCAAGATAAGTACCAGAATTTTTACCCTTAGCATTACCCGTCTTTAATTGCATTTTATATGCTTTGGTTATTTACATAGTGAATTCTATCCTGTTATTCTACTGCTTTATATGGTTTTTGGTTAATGTTATTTACCTTTGAGCCCAGGTTTCCAGACCATCCTCTGGGTTTTCTTGCATGTGTTTCTCTCCTCTCTTTTGACTTTGCCTTGTTGCTCCTGTCCTTTGGGGGATCCCTTGGGGTTTGCCTCCCCTTGTCTGATTTATTTTCCTTGGTTTTCTCTGTTTTTCTTGAGTCTCCCCCTTCTTACTGGCTGTTTGGCACCGTTTTATACGCCCTTCTGTTCGGCTGTTTCGCAACAGACTTTGGCCTTTCGCCTAAATTTTGCCACAAATTTGTGTCATTCGTGAGCCTGGCCGCGAATGGTATTGTACTGTAATTTTGCCGCGAATGGTTTCTTGTTCGGCAGTTTTTCCAGCGAATGGCCATTCACTAGTTCGTTCAACTAATTCGTCCTGTTCGCCGAGTTTCGGTTTGCCAATTGTCTATAGACCGGCATAATACTTGCCTGTATTATTTTGTCTACAGCTGTAGTTTTTTGTAAAAGAGTCTACTATTGTGCTGTTTTTTTGTGGGTCTCACATTGCAATATGCCTAAGGTGTCTGCCTGTCCCCCTTCCCTTGGTGAGATGGGTATGCCTCAAGGCCTGGGGATCCCCTCTAGTTTCTAGCTCCCCTCCATCAGTAGTTGGCCCTATGTCTCACTCCGATGAGGCTTAGTCCCTGGTGCTGTGGGCTCTATGTCCTCTGCCTTCTCTCCCACTGGACGCAGAAAGTCCATGTCCAACAACGCACCAGCTGCGTTTTGGTTCAGACCCTTCACAGAATCTCCATCACCCGAGGTCAGTGGACCATGTGGCGCGTTACCCGGAGAACTGGGTAAAGCGTCCCCTCAGAAGGAGTAAACTCTGGGCTGAATGCCCGATAAAGTCTGTTAGACCCCGATTGTTGACCCTAAAATAACCCAATTCCTTACCAAATTGGAATGGAACACTTGTAAGGGTTTGGATTCGGCACTTAAGCCGTGCCAGGATAAGCATTTGGACGTGTTTGGTCCCTTGGCTAAGCTCCTTGACCTGGCAGAAGACGCCAGAGCGGACAACAGACAGGTTGACCCGGAAGAACTCCATGGCTGGGTGCAGATGGCTATCTGCTTTGCAGGCAGGGTTAATACCTCCCTGGCTATAGAACTGCATAAAGCCATTCTCTTTAAAATAGAGCCAAAATTGGCCAATCTCGCCCTCAGTGAGGCGGGCAAGGATGCCCAAGGCCTCTTTTTTGGGGACTCCTTTATAAAAGACTTGGGGCATTTTGTTGGGGCTTTTACTGCCCTCGTCTGTCTGGCCGTAACTACTATAACTCCCGTGGCTCGGGACGATGCTCCTATACTTAGCGACCCCCCTATCAGGAGGCTTTCTTCCCTTCACGTGGAAGAACATGGCGGTCCAGAGGGAACTCCGGTTCCAGACGCCCTTACAGTAAGCTTACATATACCTCATGTTTCTTCTCAGGTTTGTAGGGGGCAGACTCCGTAATTTTTTCCCTGCTTGGTCAGCCATCATCTCCGATGCTTGGGTTCTGGCCACCGTTCGGGGTTTCCACATAGAGTTGGTCAGTACTTCTTGCCACATCCCTCCACCTTGCCTGATCTCATTCTCCCTACGAGATCGTGAGTTGATCGACAGAGAATTGACGGGCCTTCACGAGAAAGGGGCGATCAAACTAGCACCCACGTCCCATGCCGGGGGCCTCAGCAAAATTTTCTAGGTGGAAAAGAAAGGGGCAGATGCACCCCGTTATCAATCTCTGTTCCCTCAATGCCTTGGTGTGCTACCGCCACTACAGCAAAAAACAAATGTGAGGAAGGCTGAACTTGATGGACGCAAGTCTCTTTTCAGCTATGTAACTATGTAAGATGGAAGGCATACACCTTCTGTGGAACCTACTCCTTCCCGAAGACTGGATGGCGAAACTGGATCTGAAGGACGCGTACTTTACGGTCTCAGTGGCCGAGACATCCAGAGACTTATTGCATTTCCTTTGGAAGGGCAACACTGACACTTTACAGGTCTTCCTTTTGGGCTCTCTTTGGCACCTTGGTGCTTCACAAAACTGTTACACCTGGTCATGGATTGGTTATGCAGTCGGGCGTGCGTCTGATCGTCTACTTGGACTATATTCTGATCATGGCACAGGATCGCTCCATCCTCCTAAGGCACTTGCAATGGACGGTAGACCTCCTCTCTCGCCTGGGATTCCTCCTCAACTGGGAGAAGTCCTGCCTGATGAGATGCATGGAGTTCCTCGGTTACACCATAGGCACCGGAGCGGAGTTACTGAGCCTTCCAACGTCCAAGATTAGGACTATCCGCAAGGAGAGACCCAACCGGAGTTAACGGTGTACTTGGATGCAAGTCTCTACGGCTGGGGTGCCCATTACAATGGTGTGACTATAGGAGGACGTTGGTTGGAGGATGAAGTCTGACTCCACATCAACGCTCTGGAGCTCCTAGCCAGTACCCTTGCGATTCGGAGTCTTGCGAACGGGACCGCCAGCACATGCATCCGACCTATCCTTACAACAATTGTTAGCTAAGTTAGTCTCCCTTTTTTGCCTCATTTTGTGCAAGCAGGTTTCGGATGTTCGTGCCCTTCACTCCAGACGGGGTGACCTTTAACATCTCCAATCACACGAAGACTGCTATTCGGTCAGTATCATATCTGGCTTTTCCAGCTTCTCCAGTGTTGTGTCCTGTTGCTTGTATGCGCGACTATGAGCTTCGTACCAGTGCGCATCGTTCTGTATCATCTCCGCAACTATTTCTCTCGATTCGCCAACCATTTTTGGAAATTTTATTGGCATTTTTAACTTGGTTTTAGTACAGATTTAACAGTTGGGCTCCTGTTCTTTGTCTTTTCACAGCTTGATTCGGTGTTGCTCTATGGTCCTCACTTCTTCCCGGTGTGTTTCGCTTAAGATGGCTGGATTCCGTTACCGTCTTAAAGTTGGTTTGAGAAATTTTGTTACCGTGTTTTCCAGATGTTGGGAATTTCTGTTGGTTCCTGTTTTAAGTCTCTCCTCGTGATGTGTCGCATCTCCAAAGAAAGAGGAAGTTTTAGAGGCGGTGCTTGCAGTTAAACTGGGACTCGCATGGGGATTGGCTGGTGTATCACGGTATATGTTCTATTTTTGTTCTTTGCTGCGATTGGTGGACAGTAAAGAAAGGGTTAACTAATAGTCGCCTCTGTGTGTCTTTCATAAAATCATGGCTTTTCGTCACAAAATAGCAAAAATCATGTAATTACCACACTAAAAGCGGAGAAAGCTCTATTTTGTCACTGAGAAGGAAGTTGACAGAGCAAACTCTCACCTGACAACCAACTTTATAATAAAACCAATGTGAGCAACTTGTAGAATGAGACCATTCATATAGGGGCTTCCAGAGCTTCAGAGAACTTTTAATTACAATTGTCACTTAACAAGCATATTTTAAAGCATCACAAATTAGTTGCAAGTAATAAGATGCATTGATAGTTTAAGTAGAACACTTTACTTTAAAGGGACACTATACTCACCAGAACAACTACAGCTTATTGTATTTGTTCTGGTGAGTAGAATCATTCCCTTCAGGAAAATGATGTGTTTACATTATAGCCTAGGGATACCTCCAGTGGCCATTCCTCAGATGATTGCTAGAGGTGCTTCCTTAGGCAGTGGTGCACGGTATGCAGCACTGTCATTCAATGTCTCCACCCTCTGCATGGGGACACTGAACTTCAATAAATCTCTATGAGGAGATGCTGATTGACCAGGGTTGTGTTTGGCTCTGCCTCCTTGACAAGCTCAGCCAATCCGATTGGAAAGAATGGTTATTGACTCAGAGAATCATGTCTGATGTCAGACAAGCAGGCAGATCGGGGCAGAGCCAGCAGCTGCAGACTTGAATACAAGTAAGACTGTACTATGTTTGTGTTCCTGACCCTACAGTGTTCCTTTAAAAGGGACACCATAAGCATCAAGACCACATCATCTCCTTGAAGTAGTGTGGGTGTTGTGCCCCTGTCTGTTTAACAATGCAGTTTATGGGAAACTGCCTTTGCTTACATTACAGGGTTAAGTCTTCCAGACTTGATTTATTTAGATTTGTATATTTGTTTGAAAG